TTGACCAACGAGGAGACGCGCGGCCGAAGTCAGCAGGGGCGCAGCGCGCAGTAAGGCCCCTCGCTCATGCCTGACGTTCCTTCAGAAAAATCTCATTTTAATATGTCAAATTATTTAATAAATAAATGAATAAATAAATTAGTAACGATGAAAACAGTTATAAATCGATCAAAGAATTAATTTAAAAATCATTCTTTAACTACGTAATTAATCAATAAACCACTAATTGATCGATTAATTGTCCAATTAATTAATTCATTAATTAATTAAGTAATCCATTTATTCACTCGTTGGTTAATTAATCAATTCCTTGCTTAATTGAATGTGATAAACATTTTATTTTTTGAGAATACGGGGAGGTGGGTAAAAGGTTTCAAAGCAAATGTAATGTTAAATAAACAATCCATTTTTGCAACACGAAACATTCTTGCAAAAAGAAATTGTTTTTTAAAAAACAAATTTGCTTTGAAACCTTTTACCCGTCACCCCGCTTTGAGAAAGCAAAAAATCATTCACGTAATAAAAGGATAAAGAACACGATTAACACGATGACTGCCATGGGGGTCACAGGTGATCGGCGACGCATAATAAAAAATCCATGTTGGCACCATGGGCAATCCATGTAAAATTTTCGTAGCGGTCAACGTGATAACAACTGTTATTCACCTACTTATTAATTTTTTACAATTAATTAAGCCAGGAATTGATTAATTAGCCAACCAGGGAATAAATGGATGGCTTAGTTGACTAATTCATTGGGCAATTAGTAGATCAATCAGTAATTTATTTATTAATTATGTAGTTAAAGAATGATTTTTAAATTAATTATTTGATTGACATATAACTGGTTTTATTCTTATTTATTTACTTATTCATTCATTTAACAAATAATTTGACATATTAAAATGAAATTTTTCTGGAGGAACGTCTGGCATGAGCGCGAGGGGCCCTACGGCGCGCTGCGCCCCTGCACACTGGCCGCGCGTCGCCTCGTTCGTCAACTTTAACTACTAATAACTCGATAAAAAATGTTCCGAGCAAAAAATGGAAAAGGAACTTCTAGTTCCAAATTTCACCCTATTTCACTCCTTAAGAGATTTACTATCTATTATGGGACACCCGGTATATATGACACTTTCATATCACCTTAAAGGGCTAATTGTCTCCTGCTGCGACATCGTCACCTAGTTTGGTTCGAGTCCCTCTCGCTCCCGTTCTGGTTCTCCCTCTTGCAGACCCTTCGAACCACTCGTCTTCCTTTCGCTCCTCGTCGGCCAGTGTGTCGCAAACTGTCGCGGGTCGTGTCGCGTACGATTGGTTGAGCCGGCTAGACTCGTGCGCGAGGTTGCTTCTCTCTCTCTAGATCCGGAATGAGCGGTGCCGCAGTTGAGCGCGGTCCGTCGCCTCGTCGTGTTCGGTTTCGTACGTGCGAATGACCGCGAGTTCGGGTCGCTTCCTTTGATCGTATTTTGAACCGATTCAAGTTTGGTAAGGGGTCACTACCTCGCCGGCAAACGTGGTTAACGCGATCGCGAGTGAGAACGGACTCGAGTTTTTAATTAACCTACCGCTTTACGCTTTAAGAAGAGAAACGGAGAATTTCACCGAGACCTAGTTTACACGGGAAAGCTTCATTTTGGGATCATTTTGACCGCGAGAACGTGAACGACGCTGTTTCATTTCGTCGATTTAAAGTGCACCTGCCGCAAAAATCTATTGAATTTCTTGGGCAGTCATCGACGGGTGGAAGCGCGTAAAGAAACCTTGCAGCTGCACCTATTATCCCACGTGTAGTAAATTATATCAGAATGTACGTTCACGTGCTGTAGTTTATGATTCATTATCACGAGGTACGGCTGACCTGTGAAAATGGAAATTATAAATGCAGCGCGTCGATCGAAGTGTACGCATTTAAACTCGTTTGAATCATTGAACATTAAAATGAGTTTGCGTCGCGATCGATTGATCTTGAATTCGTAATAACGGAGTTTTGCTGTATGGAAAATACTGGTGGTTATTCGTTCCGTGCTAATGATAGGATAACGGATTCAGAAAATGGTACCGAAATACGTTGCGTGGAATTCGTGACGACAGCCACGTTAGGAATCTAGCGTGGAAACACCACGTGGATGAGGAATTAACTTGGCCCTAGGTCCTAAATTAATACACGATACGAAGAACGCGGGAAGAATTGTTTTGAATTCGAAAACAGTTAGCTGAAAAGTAAAGGTTTTAATAGGCCCGAATGACTTGTTCTTGGACACAGATTTGTAAACTTAAGGAAAAGAATATATATATATACCATGGTATAGTGGCGATTTTTGTATATTCCGATATTCCTCCCCGGATATCCAAGTTTCATTTCTTTTGGCGTAACGTTAATTTCCTATCAAAGTAGAAAATAACGTTTTCTTTTAATACGTTAAATCTGCAATAGTTATAGTTTTAAAAACAACAGGAAACGGGTAGAACATTTATCGAGTCTCGATTGTATGTCCTTACCGTAAAGGTAGAGTTCGTTTCGGCAAAAGCTACACTCGATAGAGTTTATCTTCACGGTATATGTATATAACGAAAATGTTAGGATAGGAATTCTAAATCTATGAAAACGCGTCGAATCACTTTCTCTTTCCAATCATGAAGGCTCGCGCCGATAGGATATTAATACTTATTAGAACGGTACGGATACATGGTGGGTGTTAAAAATAAATTGCTCTTATTTTGTCCAAGACGATTATCGGACCAGAAGATAAAGGGTAGGCAGTAAAGGACATCCACGGTAACCTTTCAACTTTTAATCCGCCTTGGACGGTTCGTTGTTTTCATGCATTATTGAAATAGCCCGTGAACTCAATGAACTTTGAAAATATAATATGCAACTTCACCGAGCTAATTTCTTATCTTCTTGATTGACACCGTCTCTGATGTACGTACGGTAGACACAGCAAGCCTTCCTTATCGTCAGATTTGTCCGACTTGTCAACGACATTAATGACGTAACGGTGCCAGAGAATTGAAATCTTATAATTATACCGCAGGTGCACTTTTCTCGACGCTTTTCATGTATAGTTTTTTTTTTTTTTAACTTCGGAACTAAACTGTCTTCTCACTCGTGATAACCTTTTGACCGTTCTTGTGCGCTCAGACCAAAATAATGATTTTCACAGACAAGAAGGCATCGAGGCATTCAATATGAGAGATGTCCTACTATTTGGATTTCACGCCATTTCTTTCGTGCTATTTGCATTTGCAGTGTATTATGACTTCATGTACACCATTGTGCCAACGAAAGTCGCCAGGGTGTACAATTCCTACGGTGGAAAGTTCAAGTTCCTCACTTTTTGGGACGCGGTTTGTATCATTACGAATATCTTAAAAACGTTAACTCGATCAAGTGAAAAGCAGTATTTTCTTTTAATATTGAATTATGTTTAACCATAGCAGTAAGAGAAACTTATGGATGCTTCGTCACAGTCCAAAGAGAAATAAAATTGTACAATAACCTGTGGAAGTGGACGTACACCCGAATTTACACCGATGAATTCTAACACTTTTTATCTCTTAAATGAAAATTGAGTTATTTTGACCCAACATCATTGTATAAGAAATGTCTCTTTTCAAAGAAATAGATTCTTCCTTCTTTCTTTCCAATTATTATTAATCGTAACCACTCACGTGAGAATATTGGAAAATGCCAGATTGCATATGCAAAGTAGATTTATAATATAATATGGGTAAAAAATTACCCAATTTACTTTTAGGGGTTATGTAAAAAGAATAGCGTTTTCATTGATACCAAGTGTATGTGGTAAATCTGAAAAGGTTATTATACGTTACTTCCATAGAGGACATTTAAGAAACGAGTTTCATATTATCCAATTTATGTGCAACAACGTACCTGATGTAATATTACACATTCGAAAATCCTGATGTGTACATTTATTAGAAAAGTAAACAGTCGCGTATATTACCGTTTCATTTAACAATTTAAACCGTTGTCCTACATGTAAAGGTCGATTTACCTTATTCAACGTGTATCAATTACGACACGTACCGACGACAATCTGACAAAAAATTGTCACATGCGTTTTAATGGCTTTTTGGCTTTCACCGTGTCCGACCTGCGTACAGGGTGAACAATCATTGAAACTCATGTTTTAATGATTTGTCGGATCGAAACTAGCACGTGTCTGAACCAATACGTGTCAGATAGGGTGAATTCACGTTAACATGCGTTTCAATGGCACAGTTCACACTTTTATATGAATATGAATCGGCCTGAAATCGGATAATCCGATTCTTGAATACAGCTGGATAGAAATAATAACCAGACGTAGTAACAAGATGAATGGTAAAAACTTTCTAGTAATTGATACGGTTACAGTATACATATGTTCATAAAATGAAATTTTATTAATGTCTAAAACTCAAATGGAATGGAATATATATGCATGCAGCAGTGCGTTGCATACATAGGAACTTATGTACACGTGACGCGTGCTACTATCGTGACAAATGGTGCTTAAACGTTTAAACGGGTCGAGTGATGGGTACTCAATGGCAGTTAAAACTCATCCGGCTGGATATGAAATGCTTCGAGTATCCCTTCGTTCGAAGTAATGCGAATTACGATGCCATTTTGACAGTCAAGATGTTTGAGGTGCACGAAATGAGCACTTGTGCATTTATCGTTATCGCAATGCTCTCGAGACCAAGGATACCAAGGATGCAATCGGTAAAACTACTCTATCGAGAGGCAATACTATTGAACGTGAATGCACGAATGAACAAAGGTCGAGAGACTAGATAAGATAAAACAATTTTTGCAACGTTTTCCATGATCGATCAAATAGGACGAAGTCTACGTGAAAAATTGCAATCGTGCATTTTCCCTTATCCTAATTTAACTATCTATAGCAATTACTCCGTGCACATCCGTGCTCGAATTAGAACAAAGGTCCGGGTAATTTTTGACCGAAAGCTGCCCTGTTCTGTTACAGATAATACAGGCGGTCTTCTTCTTCATTTGCCTACTTAACGACTTCTACGGTAGCAATAAAGTCAATCTGAAGAAGAGGCCTCTGATACGCAAGATCAAAGACTATATCCACGCTACATTCAGCTTCCCGATCGCCATGGTTTGTACAGGACGTTTACATAGGCCTAAGCATAGATTTGTCACAATTGTCGATTCTGTCCGTATGTCGCTACCGTCACGGTACACTTTTTACGATTCGACTTGTTAATTCTGCTGCAGTTTGTCGGGATTACGTTCTGGGCCTTGATGTTCGTCGACCGAGAACTGGTGTTGCCCAAAGCCCTGGACCCATACTTTCCGTGGTGGTTGAATCATATGATGCACACCATGATTATGGTTACAACATTACTGGAGACGATTATCTGCCCCCGGCAGTATCCTAAGCGAGGGAACGGTTTAGCGGGGCTTTCCGTTCTTATGCTCGCTTACCTGGTCTGGTAAGTGGAAATACATCTCTGCCGAGAGAACACCACAAAGTGCGTCTCGTCTCTATAATAAGCTTCCTTTGTAGGATGCACGTGATCCACGCGAAAAGTGGAATCTGGGTTTATCCAGTGATGGAGGTGTTGACCTTCCCTTTAAGGGTTGCATTCTTCGCGGTGCTGTTTGTTTTCGTTACGATCTTATACTTTGCCGGAGAATCGCTGGACAACCTCATTTGGGGTAACGCACAACTTAAGCAACACAAATCTTATTCCAAAATCAAGTAGCCTCGTCGTTTGCCGCTGGTAGGTGACTTTCAAATGCGCTCTGTCCACTTCGACAACGGTGATTACATGTCAACCACATTCTTTCAAAACATGCACGTCCGCTGTTCTCGTGTTTTACATATGAGCACGATTTTTCATTTGGAAATGTACCCACGCATTGTAGTGACAGTATTTAATGTGCAGATCACGTGCCGTTCAATTAATGTACCGTATCAAGCATTTGTACTTATATCGTTCCAATTGATCTAACGTGTAATTGCTTTTTTATGTAACCATTTGATCATGTATTGTACAATATCCTTGTTGTTTTCATCACTACGCGTTGAAGTTATGTACATTGGCATGTATGAAATTCCCTAAATGTCCTGTGTCCAATGTAAAGTATTTAACTATTATATCTGGATAACACTATATGCGCATGTCTTTAGTCCCCCAGCCTTTATTGTTGCAATTAATCGTTATATCGAATATAAATATAATTCCCATATTTATGGGTTACCTTTATTTAGTTTTGCGCATTCTAACTAAAGTTAGGCTATTTTTATCGACTGTAGGCAAAAGGTATCTAACAGAGGGTAGCTGAGCAGAAATATAAACATAGATGTGGCAAAGAAAGAAGAGGACCTCGATTCCGCAGACCATTCAAATAATAAAGTGCTTAACGTTCATTACATCGTCCCGAAAGTCTTTCCAACCCTTCTGGAGAACTATAATTTTTAGTAAGGCACTCAACAGATAAAAAATATTGTTATGAAACACAAATGCAAATGCTAATCTTATAATTACGATGCAGTTATTTAAATGATCGCATATTGTACTATTAGAAATTCGCATTGGCCGAAATATAGGAATGTCCGCCGTAAATTCGTACAGTTTTTGTAATATCGAAAGTCTAATAACCTGCATTTACCGGAAATAGGAGCAAACTCACAAGAGAGCACTTCATAATGTTTAAATACGCTATAATGACGTGCTGGAAAAAATGTTGCTTTCCCCCGGACAGTACTTGAGTAACAAGTCAAATAATGTTAGATTTCTTTCAGCAAATTCAATTTTTCACAATTTATTTAAATCATTTTCCTCTTTTTATTTTCTTCGAGAATGTAATATCTTTCATCCAAATTCCCTGTACTCTCAGTGGATTGGGAACCTTTTCGTTTGCTTGTATGTAAAATATGCGCGAATTTCCTTGTAAATGTAATATAAAATGGATTTCCATTATAAATATTATAACTGCTTATTACAGTATGTCGTTCATAAAGCAATCTGCATGTGTATGCTCAATGTGTAAGTGGTGTAGTAAATGTATGTCATTTTGTAAATGACTTATTCGTCTTATACGTAAATGTAAGATCATTGTTTCGTTCCAATTTTTTGAACACTAAACCTACGACCGACGGGTCAAATTGACCATTTTAAATGGTTTTGTAATGGGGGTATAAATCATCGGTAGGTTTAATGTTAACGCGTGTGTGATTGTACATATATATTTCATTTCATGAAGAATATATATTTTCTAATGGCATTAAATGAATGCATGGAATGATTTACTTAGTTTGTATGCTTTAAATATTTCGATTGATTTTTTTTAACATAGATAAATTCAGTTCGAAAAATTCCACCGAGAAATTGAGACGACAGAAATAATTTTATGTAACTTATTATTTTGTAAAGAAGGAATAATTATTGTTGATAAATATTCAGTTTTTAAGCTCATATTTGTAATCATAATCTTTATAAAGTTTGAGGAAAGCAGTTTTCAAATTGCTGTATATTTTGGTTAACAAGGAAATGATGATCTTAAATATATTAATATCAATAATTTTCATTAATATTATATTTATTTTCTAGGAAACAACAGAAAATCCTCAGGTAAGAGCAGTAGGGAGAGAAAATCAAAATGAAAAGATGTCAAGCTAATTATGCGTGAAAGTGCAATAGTTATTACATATATAAATTGTTATTGTTCATGCATAATACGTAAAACATAGCTAATGAAATAAGGGAGCTATTAGTCTCTCAAATTGCGGTTATCGGTGGCAATTTATGCAAAAACATGTCTTTGAAGTGAGACATTGGCATACGGTTACTTTGATTTAGTTTTTAGTAATACTGGTACTCAACTTTTGATGTGAATAAGCGGTACGACGAATTTGTAACAATTTGTGACATTTTATAAAAAGAAAATACACTAGGATCAGGAAATAGAACATTCATCTAGGCAGAAATTAAATTAATGATTTCCTATATGGTCAAAATATTGCGTTATAAAATATTTTTCGTCTTGACCCAAAAAGGTCAATAGGTACACTGCCTATATTACTGTTTACCAAATGAAATTCACAATAAATAAATACGATCGTTTTTCATTTTTCTGATGTATTACTGTTAAATAAATCTATTATATTATTTTTATACGCTACTCTTATTTAATCTTTGATGCGCTTGTAATATTAATCCCTTGTCTTACGAATTGTTTAGCGGATAGACGTTCTTTATACGTTATTCGAGGCGAGCGTAACTCGTCATTGTAAAGTAAGGGGTTAAAGGGGATCCTTATTAAAATAGAAAAAGGCAAAGTCATATAAAATATATTTACAAGTTTCATTTTAACAATTACAAAACCAGTTTTTTCCTAGTGCTGTAGTTAAGTAAATCTAGTCGTTCATTATAGGCATTCGCGAATGTAGAATCTCATAATTATTGCAATGTTCTTGCATATCAGAAAAAATATTTTTTATATAAAATATTCTGAGAAAATATTTTTCATGAATTATAATAAGCATAACAGTCCTGTTGGAGTACATCAGTCTTGAATAATAGTTTCGAAATATTAAAAATTCCTTCAAGAATTTCTTTGAGAATATAACAATATTTGGGCAAAATTCTAACGTATATCTACTTCGTTAAATCTTTAACAAACAATAGAACGAGCTGATAGATACGTGCATACCTTCGCTATCGTGTCACGTTCTGAAACATCCGCATACAATAAATGTACAAACATTGAATTCAGTAATATACACATATAATAGAAAAAATGCTATTCTATTTTTAAGTACAAGAATTTAAAAGAATATAAAAAATAATGAAAATACACGGTACCTATTTTTGAGCTGATTATAAACAAATTACGTAATCACTAACATGTTATAAATAAAATATAATTACAGTACATTATATTTAACTAACCAAAATGTGAATATTGAATAAACCGAAACGGTTTTTTCTTAACCACTTAATGTGCTAAGGAGATTCGTATGTTATACATTTTTATGGTTACTTTTCCGGTCTTCCCGTCGATTTTCTCTAGAAATTTTCGCTGCGGATAAGGGACTTCTGCACAGATCAGTTTTTCCCTCGGTTGCTTTTCGATTGTTGGTTTTATTTAGTTGTGGGGAAATTTGCGTTCCCTTCGAACTACAATTTCTGCTGTTGATTATTTCATCGATACTTTGCTTTAATTCCTCCATTTCTAAAATATCTAGTGGAAGGGACGTCTGCGTAGCTATTTCTCTAGCACTTGTCTGGCTATCAAGATGCATGATTCGAGACAACTCTGGGCAATAAGAAGTTAGACTAGATGCTAAATCGCCTATTCCTGCTTTTCTAAAAACGTCTTTTATCTCCGATTCGCTTTTCACTTTAATATCACTGGATTCCTGAAGTAATTGTTTTAAAACAGCTTCCTCTTGTAACAGGTATTTGCTTCTTCGACCTTCTCTGCTTCGTCTGTCGTCCTGCCCATAGCTTTTGCCACTTCGATTACTACTTTTACTTTTACTTCGTTCCTGAGGCTCTTCGGCATCTAACATTTTCGTATCTTCTTCAGGTTGACTATCTTCACTGTCACTACCTCTGTCATCCTTTTCTCCGTTACCGGCTTCAATGTCAACATCTTTATTTATCTCGTGGTGTCCTCTCTCTTTTTCTTCACTACTCAAGTTGTCTTCACTTCCACTCTGGCCGGGCAATAAAAACGGAAACAACATTCCTGCATTTTTTCCTTCCAACAGCTTTGAACTAAATGCTTTTTCATCTAATCCTGCGCTGGCCGATCGTCTTTTCATATTCGGTACCTGCAAAGGAGGAACATTCGGGGTCCCTCCAATAGTTAATGCCGAAAGAATCTGAGCTCCCAGTTGACTTTCTTGTGAAGTTGTACTTCCTCTACGGAAGAGCGGTCCTACTTTTCCTGACCTCGATTTTCCGAAATCTCTTCTTCGTTTACCGCGTCTACATCTGCGAGAACCACCGGGAAGGGTCGAAGATGCCACTTTTCTAGTTGTTTTCAATTCAGCAATTTGCACCGAGATTTGTGAGTCTAGGGAGTTCCTTCTAGACTCAACTGATACTCGACGTACGCTAAAACTAATTTCCGAATCTACAGAGTTTCTTCGATTACTGGACACGGAACCAGTTGTTCCTCCAACAAGCGCTCCTCTTCTTGTTACTAACTTTGGCAATGCCGCAGCCCAAGTTGAACTAAAATCCTGAGATGCTGCTGAGTTTAAATCAAAATTTAAACCAACTGGATCCTCGTGGGTATTATAAAAGCTAATAGACAAACGACCAGCATTGTTGAACGTTTTTCTCTTGGCAAATGCTTGAGCAATAACTTTGTGTTTTTTCAATTTAATCGGTTCGTCAGCTTCGCGATTGAAGGTCCTGTAATATTAAATTTTAAATATTATTTGAAATACTGATTTTTTAGTATAGAAACAGTTTAATCTACTGTTAAAATATACCGTCGAATAAATCTGGTCCATGTATCTACCGTAGAGCCGGTCCAAACCCAAGAGGACATTAAGATACCAGCAAAAAATGGGGACAATAAATGCAACTGCAATTTAGCTACACTGGGTCTCCATTCCATTTTGCATTCCGAATCGTCTGCATATTTTGTCGTAATAGAACAGCTAGACATAAACAATAATTTACTCTAAATCCTTTAAATTAAGAACTGTAGGTACTATTCGTATATAATAATGGTGAAGTAAGAAATTCTTACATCATATAATTTCTGAAACTCTGTTTCCATTCCCAGGAATGTTGAAACTCATATATATGACAATAAAATGTTATCACAACCGCAGCAAAAGCGAATATGGAGAATAATCCCATTCTGACAATGGTTTCTCGTATCTTTGAACTTGCTCTCTCTGATATAATTTCCTGACTGCTTATCTTAAGTCGAATTAATGTTATTAATCCTGAAATGGAAAGTTAATTACACGTCAACGTTAATCTGAGCCAGTAAAATTTATGTTTTTCACATATTTTCTTCAAAGGATACAATACTTACAAAACGTGTATGCGCACAGGAGGAAAGCAAATAACAAATGATGTCATTGTATCATTTAAATAATGTAGTAGTAAATAAACATACCTCTTGATAAAAAATAACCTCCGACCACAACAAATGCTGACACAGGTCCCAGTAAAAACCAAGCTCTCACTACGTGGTTCGTATAACCCACAAAACATATTCCAGTTACACTATTTCCATCTATTTCACCTAATGCCATAATAGTTACGGTCAAAACCAATGGCAAACACCAAGCAATAAGGTGGAAATAGGCACCCTTTTTATCAATTCGGTCCTGTATTTTGCCTAGCGCTTGGAAACTCATGTGCCACGCGTATGTTAAAATAACAAACCAAACCATAGCAGCCATCAAAGAGTAGTAGACCAATATAAATACCACTACACATGAAAGGTTCTCACCACTAAAACATGAATATACAAAACATACTAAGATAAAAAATATTAACATATTATATTAACTAATTGAACGAAGCTTACCTCGGTTCACTCATTTTCAATGTTCCATCCTTACGACAAACTATTACTTCTCGACTTCCAGGACTAAATTGTACCATCCAGCCCACACAAGATACTACAAAACAGCAGTTTATATAAAAAATGACTAGTGCTGGGTATTTATTGGCACTTCGCCAATCTATTAAAAAGGTGACCTATACAAATATGAAATCATAAATATCATAGTTTCAAAATTTTTAAACATACGTTCATTAAAAAATCATTGTATTCAGAGCAACTCACCACAGTAAATAAGTTAAAAAGACCGCATATGACTGCAGCCCATGCTATGAATGAATGTATCTGTTTCTGCTCGTCTAAAGTGAAAAGTGGGTCACTACATTGTGTTCCACAACCTTCGACACCTTCAAAAATTGAGAGAGCATTGTCTGTTGGAACTAACGGTTTCAAGCACTTTCCAGTAGTATTAAATTTAATTTCTCTAATATCGTTCTTGCACAGCCGTGGAAAAAGCTTAGAATTTTCACACTTAATGAAGTTTGGCCATAATGTGTGATTAAACAGAATACGACAAGGTCCCAGGACCAATTTACACATCTCTTGAGATGGCAACTCCACCGTATCGTTCATGCATTTTGGCATAAAAAGAGAGCATAGTAATGGCTGTACGACGGCCCAACATTTTGGAATGTGTCTTAATCCTTGCAACAAGTGTAATTTTTCCTAAAGAAAAGTTATTTATAGTTAACCATCGTGGTCACATTATACATTAGGTAATTTAAAAAATTGTATTGTTTTTATATGAAAACGTTAAAGTAAACAAAAACTGATAGAACATTTGAAATTACCTAATATATAGCGCTTTGCTTTGTGCAAATATAAATTTGAAATAAAAATGCTGAACTTATAATTAAAGTCATCCTTATATAGTGTTCTTAACTAATAATTAATGAATTATTTTATTTTTACTGTACCTTTACTTGTTCTTGTGTCATAGCCTCAGGAATCAGATCTAAGGTAGTAGTTGTATAAGGCAATTGAGTGCCCATACATGAATTATGATGCATCTGAATGCACTTGGCAGGTCTGCGGCAGTCAACCGAATCTGTAGGTAATTCTCCCATGGTAAACCTGTCCAGCAGGTAACTAGGGTCCTTTATTCTTCTTCTATGTGTTAATTCTGCTTCTTTCCATGTCTTGTTTTCACTGTTCGTATTTTGTCCGAAACTATGTTCCAATTCGGATTTCACTCCATTCAAGATTAAAACCCAGATTAGAAGGGTACTCATCTATAAAAAAGAATAGACACCATACATTTTGCCTTTTGTATAAGCACTGCATTACTTAAAACTATACTATGTTGCAATGATAGAAGATAATATATTATGTCCACACATGCTGAGAATAAATAAAATACATATCCCCCCCCATTCCATAAAGCATAGGACAAGTCTTAAACACTGCAGCTGTAACTGTTTTATAGTAGACAAAAATTCAAAACCCAGATTTATACAATTTTTCTATGGGTCTAGAAAGTATGATTAAACGTTTGCACAGGGAGCCATTTACCCTAGAATTACTTAAATCCAAATTTCGTTTAGTCCAAAATCATAGTATACAGCCATAAGAAAAGCAATACAGGAAACACTAAAANACGAAAGTGTATCTACACTTCTGCACTTGTCAAGAAAAGTGTAGTACACTCGTTACCCTCGAGTGTAGAAGTGCAGTCAACACGAACAAACCTATATAATTCGACCCAGCTGTCAATATAAAAACGAACGTCAGCAACGTAGGCATTTAGAAAAATCTTCTTTATCGACGTTGATCAAGTTTCTCGACGTGTTTCACTTCACCTTAACCTCAGAATCGAGAAACCGATTCTTGACTGAAACGGTAGAGGGGAGAAATTCACTTCCCTCCTTGGTTGCTGTTTGTCACCACAAGATTGGCTACTGAAACTCAGCGTCGTGACGCACTTCCGTCAACTATCTGACTTTTAACAACCAATCAGAACCTCTCATTTACTCCGTCGACCATCTCGGCCGGAAATATTGGCCAAAGGTAAAGCTAGAGATGACGTATAATTGGTATATAAACGACTATATAAACGTATAATAGTTTAGTTTTTAAAATAAGTTATTTTATATTATATAACCATTAATTCATGATTTCTAAATAAACGGAAAAACAAGAGCTTAATTCCGGATCAAATCACAGATGTCGAATCGAACCCGCAATTTTAAACGCTCATTATTCGGGAGCACGCTGCAACGGAAGCGGACAAAACAAAACCCACGTGAGCTTCGATAAAAACTTCGCTTTACCGTGCAGTTAAGATTACCTTTTTGTATTCTGATTTCCTCCAAATCGAAACGACGTGCTCTTTTCGAGTCCAATCAGTCGACTAGCCACGCTTTCGTGGTTCATTCGGACAAAGCGTCGTTCATCCTTCGGAATCGCGCTGGCGGCGTCGGCCAGTATCCCTCGGCATCCCTCGTACGCGGACTGTCGGGCCGACTGGGGCCGACCGTCCCCGGCCAGACCACACACACGCCGCGTCCGCTTTAGACCACCCACGATCTTCGCTATCCCTTCCATCCCTTCTTTTGAGCCGGCAGCCAGCGCTGCTCACACTTTTGAATGCGGGGCCACGGCTAAGTATTCGAAGTACCCACATACTCCGCGAGTAGCGCTGTCACTGTTTCGGCTTCGATTCTTTGAAGATCGATCTTTTGCATCGATTCATTCCTTTTCACGCGCGATTTTTTGAAGACTCCAAGGCCGATATTTCATTAGCGCTGCAGTGAGAAGCGACGGAACGACGCGGTGAATAAAAGATTTCGATTGGCTGCAGAGATCGTGCGGCGGAAGTTCTCCCCCCCTGGACGTATAACATATAGACCAAGGAGTATTACATAGAGCGGAAAGTCCAATAACACCGCAATGTTTTCACGTATACAGTCTTCAGCGCTCCCTCGTGGGTGGGAGACACACTAAATACCCCCCACTCACAGAAGTGCCTCATCCAGCGGGAAATTTGAATAGGTGAAAAGGAATGCAATATGAAATACTCATGAAAAATATGTTTCACATAATAAAATATTGATTTCAAAACTTTTTTAATAAACATTTACAATGCAAATGATACACACTTACTCCTGATGTCTGTTGAATTCACTTGTTTTGTGGGTACATTTCCTGTATTCGTATGATGGGAAAGGCTCCACGACTGGATCGTAGGAATTGTACCACGAACGAGTAACGGCCTGGGATGCCTTTTCCATATTAAGTATCCTTCCACACAGCAAATTCTGCCCACTTTTGACGATTGTAATACCAGTGTATAAGCTTAAATCCGCTGTTTGCTCATAGATTGCGTGAGTCAGCATATTAAGTTACTATGGACACGCCATACTTTTGTTTTGTATGAGTTTGACATCTGTCAACAATAATTGTGTGACAAAAGTCAACAATAAAGGGCACATCATCGGCAATTTCATATAACACATGCATTTTTCCTTTGGTAATCATGTCTAGAGTTTTGCCATAAAAAGAGCATATGCGGGAAGCTCTGCTTTTCTGCTTCAATTTGAAGAAATCGTCTGCCGAATCGCATCGAATGCTTGTGGAGGCCTATGGCGACAGTGCTTTATCGGAAACAACGTGCAGAAATTGGTTTCGTCGATTCAAAGACGGCAATTTTGTTCTGAGCGACAAGAAGCGTGAAAATCGGCCCAAGAAGGTTGAGGACCATCAGCTGCAGACTCTTTTGGACAAAGACGATACCCAATCGCAAAAAAAGCTTGCCGAGCAATTGAATGTTACTCGACCAGCCATTTCTATGCGCCTACGTGCCATGGGAAAGGTTCAAAAGTTCGGAAAATGGCTGCCGCATGAATTGATCGATAGGCAGATGGAGCGACGCCAAAACACAAGCAAAATCTTGCTCGCCAAATAAAAAAGAAAGTCGTTCCTGCATCGGATTGTGACTGGCGAAGATATGTGGACATTATTCGAGAATCCTAAACGCAAGAAATCGTGGGTTGATCCCAGCCAATTATGGGTTGATCGTCCGCAAGACCAAATCGCTTCGGACGAAAGACGATGCTATGCGCTTGCTGGGATTAGCAGGGTAGCGTATACTATGAGCTATACAAGCTGTTGAAACCTGGTGAAACTGTCAATGCCCACCGCTATCACCAACAACTGATCAAATTGCACCGTGCTTTGCGTGAAAAAAGGCCGGATTATCAGCAAAGACATGACAAGCTGATTTTCCTCCACGACAACGCACCATCGCACACGTCATAATGGTCCGAAACTACTTGGAGGCACTCAACTGTGAGGTGCTACCCCATGACGCTTATTCACCAGACCTAGCCTTTTCCGACTACCACCTGTTTTCATCGATGGACCAGGCGCTCGCTGAGCAAGATTTCGATTCTTACGAAGACGTTCGACAATGGCTTGATGAGTGGTTTGCCTCGAAAGAGAAGGAATTTTTTTGGCGTGGTACCCACAAATTAGAGATAGGACAAATGTGTAGCTAGCGAGGGCCAGTACGTAGAATAAATTATTTTTTTGCTTTCTGTGAAAAATACTTGTGTTTTTCTGACTAAAAAAAATGCGGGTTTAAGCTTATACACCTGGTACATAATACGAGTTAAAAAGTTTTCTTACGCTAGTAAATAAAATTGACTATGATCGATATGAATAACTTGGAATCTCGCAAAAGAGTCAGCCAATTTACTTTCATATTCTCGAAATCATTTCGGAAAAAAACAATTGATTTTAATTAAATTTAAAATTAATCATTCACAAAATGTATATAACTTATAAAATGACGCTATATATTTTCCTCCTACTTATATTGTTGGTTCCTTCGGCGCACGGAAAAAGGCGAGTCTCTTATGATTCTTCGAGTTCTTCTTGCATGTGCGGAGGTTACTTATTATCACCATGATTGAATGTGTATCGTTTTCAATCCGTTAACGTTTTAGATCGGTTCACAATATTTGTTGACGTTTAAATATTCATAATGCCGAAACCGACGCTTCCCTAATGCCACTGCGCATGCGCAACATGGTATTAGTACAATTCCAAACCACGGGATTTTCATTTTCTTGAGAATCGACTCTTTAAGGTGAAGTGAAACATCCTTCAAATCAGTCGATTCGAATACAACACTTTTTTTAAGGGTATTAGTCCAAACTGTCTGAAACTTTGACACATCACTCTTGATCATCTAAGAATTGTCCTGACACATTAAAAATTTGGATTTTTCAACAAAATTCTTTAACTCAGTCCAGACCAGAACCAAAATGGCGTCGACCTCTCATATTTCGATCGATATACAATTATCGAAGGCTCTGATATGAGCATCGAAAGGGTCAGGACAATTTTACGACAATTTAGAACCCTCTGGTAATCGATAAACTCGCATTTGAACGGGATAAGGGCAAAAAAAGTGTTTTATGCGCTTCTTTGCTAAAACGATGGGAATACGAGATCTCGGAGTGAAAATTTAATTGACCTGGAAATCACAGATGGCGCAGAGGTCCCATCGCAGTCAATTAGGGCCCCAGAAGGCATGAATCCAGAGGATTTCTGTAGTTTTTCTTCGATTTCTTTATAATTATTGTACGAAAACGACAGGTGGAATATGCCATTTGGTACAATACTAAATATAATTCGACCCAGCTGTCAATATAAAAACGAACGTCAGCAACGTAGGCATTTAGAAAAATCTTCTTTATCGACGTTGATCAAGTTTCTCGACGTGTTTCACTTCACCTTAACCTCAGAATCGAGAAACCGATTCTTGACTGAAACGGTAGAGGGGAGAAATTCACTTCCCTCCTTGGTTGCTGTTTGTCACCACAAGATTGGCTACTGAAACTCAGCGTCGTGACGCACTTCCGTCAACTATCTGACTTTTAACAACCAATCAGAACCTCTCATTTACTCCGTCGACCATCTCGGCCGGAAATATTGGCCAAAGGTAAAGCTAGAGATGACGTATAATTGGTATATAAACGACTATATAAACGTATAATAGTTTAGTTTTTTTTATACAACATTCATTTCATTTTCGTGGATGGCTCTCGACACGGAAAAATGTATTAATTAAATTTGTGTTAATTATATATAAACAATTTCCGATTTTTTTAATCGATTCTTGCAGAATAGATTCTTTGGATTCCGATTTTTAAGAGAATCGATTCTTCATGATCCGATTCAGAATCGATTCAAGAATTGATTCTTCTATGAGAATCGAACATCCCTAGCGCCAATGTAACATTGGGTGCATTCACAGGAGACAACTGTTGAGTGATCGGTTAGCGCTCATCTGCTGAGTGGGTACGTTCACTCAACATGTTTACTGATCAGATGCCATTTTATGTATCAAAAATTTTCTACGCTACCTGCGCTCAACGTGTTGGATAGATCAAATTCAAATTAAAACCATGTAGATTCAAGTTAAAAAAGCAAGGATGTCAAATGAAATCAATTATTACAATGAAATGTATGAAGTAAACGGTCTTCAGTACGATGTAGTAGAGAGTGCAGAAGTGCATAAAATGTTAGAAAATGGTACGTTATTTCGAAATGTATACTTAACCTTAATCTATTGTATTCGATCTTCCTAATATAGACCAAAAAACTAATAATAAATAAATAATTAANGGGAATTTCCGTTGTACGTTCTCCGTAGCCAATCAAAACCTTCCATTCGCTTCGTCGCAGAATGAAATATTAGTTCATTTGAAACAAATCGCATGGAATTTTCCGTGGAGTTGTAGATACGTGAATATTTTTAGCTGGAGGTAAATACGACCCTATCATCAATATTTTCTAATAGTAATTATTACTCTTTAGCTTGAACTTTGAAGTTGATTGAAAAAAAAAAGTTATTTAAACGAAGAAGCCTAAAGTATAAATAACAAAATTAACGTTCTCTTAAATTCTCAATGTTCCCGGTAACTTACGGTATGTTTCACAATTACCTTCTCCAATTTAATGTTACCGAGAATTTTCGAACTCTAGCTGCCTTATGTAGCAGAGCACGGCCCATCTATTTATTTTCAGCCGGACAGGGTAGTGAAACGCACTTAGTAACAAGGAATAGAAATATGTGTATTTGCAGTGTACATACAACGCGGGTTTCTCTTCTTCTTAACTTACCGAACTTCCGGTGATCTCTTCCGGGTCTCTCTAGTGAAATTTTTGGGCGCTCCTCGCGGCGGTCGCGGGAGCTGGCGGTGAAGCCGCCCTTTTTAACGTTCGCGACGCCGCTGGAAGCGGTGGCGTAGCCGCCACACGATCGTGGCCTGTGCTGCCCTCAGGTGGAGGATGTGGACGGCTAACGCACTTGCCACCTGATACCCCCCAAGGGCGACCCAATTCAGGAATCCTCCTCATCCCTGCTCCCAACTCATCTCTGTGATAACAAACATCGTTTAACATCTTTTAACATCCCTTACCAACAAGTCCAGCTAGAGCTACGGCGATGAACTACCCATGATGACTTGATCTACCGTGAACCCGGGAAAAGTCTATCCCTAGTCTAAATGAACACACAAGAAACAAAGAAAATCCGAACAGCCACTCGCGAGTCGGCGAGAGGACGTCCCGTCGACTCGCGGTCCCACGGATAAATCGTAACACACAATCGACTATCGTGCCGGTACGGACCTTTTGTCCTGCGACATGAGGAGATCGGAGAAATGAAATTTCGAGACTCACCGACGGAACGTTTCGTCTGCTTCGGGCTACTATTCCCTCAGGAGATCCCTCCCAAAGAAGACCTGGGGTTTCTGACCTCGGCTCCGTCTACCTACGCCCCGAAGCTGTCTGTGGCTGCATTCCACTTCTGCTTCTGTTTTCTCTGCATTCGCTGCTTCCGCTTCCTCTTTCTTCGTTGAACGATATTTAATCCTTGGCACTCGCGACCTGTGATCACTGTGTCGCCCTGACCGTCTTGACTTCGATTTTCCTGCTTGTTGGCACGGAAACTAGGCGTACAGCCCCCGCCACTTACGAAGCCTTCCCTGAACCTCGTTATGAACGAGAATGCCGTCGGCCTTTGACAAATATTTCACGCCACGTTGGTTTGAATTAGGAACGTAGCATGTAATACGTTCCTCGCCATTCTCTGAACTAATTGCGGCTCCTTATCTCGGCGAGTTATTTGTGGTAACTGCCGTTCTGTCGGCCCGGGCCGCGACCTCTGACCGGACCCGACTCCCGCATTGGGCCTGTCCTGGCTCAATCCGGGAGCTAAATCGCGGTCAGAGGTCGTGGTATATAAGGGTAACTTATTTCTGGCAGAGATGAATTGCGCCGCCACTGAGGGATAATAGGTGGCAAGTACGTCAGCCGCCCGTATCAGTTACCAGGGGGCAGCACAGGACGCGATCGCACGACACTACCCGTGAGCAATCTCCGAACTCATCCCTGGTGAAATGTAGAGTTCGAAAATTCTCGGTAACATTAAATTGGAGAAGGTAACTGTGAAACATACCGTAAGTTACCGGGAACATTGAGAATTTAAGAGAACATTAAATTTGTTATTTATACTTTAGGTTTCTTCGTTTAAATAACTTTTTTTTTTTCAATCAACTTCAAAGTTCAAGCTAAAGAGTAATAATTACTATTAGAAAATATTGATTATAGGGTCGTATTTACCTCCAGCTAAAAATATTCACGTATGTACAACTTCACGGAAAATTCCATGCGATTTGTTTCAAACGAACTGATATTTCATTCTGCGACGAAGCGAATGGGAGGTTTTGATTGGCTACGGAGAACGTACAACGGAAATTCCCCTCTACGATGTTTCTCTATAGCTAATCGAAACCTCTCGTTCGCTCTGTTGAAAAATTCAAATTCTCATAATTTCTCGATAAAAAAGGCTTTGGAGAAATTACCGATAAGTTACCGGGAATTTCTCTTCGTTTCTGACGTAACTTACTGGATTTAGAACTCTAAAGACAGCACGGCGCCCACAATCGCACGACCGTGGGGGTCTATTACGTAAAGCAAATTGAGCGAAAATATGAAAAATGAGTAGCTGACGGTATTACCAGAGATGAGCAGGGTATTACGGAACGTTTTTGGTGGTGAAATATATTAAATATATATTGCATTCATATTTACATTACAAGTTCAACATTATATTTTCTTATCATGTCATGTAAGCATGAATCATTTAACAGTTTTCAATGTTTAATAATGTAATATGTCCTCGCAATAATAAAAACTAATCTGTACATCCCAGTAAATTCTTTTTCTTCTAACGAAAATAGATCCGAGGCATCACGTAATTCCCTTCTTCGTCCAATAAAGTTATTATTACATCCCGAAATACGATTGTTGCCAAGAATCAAAACACCTAGGACGTTTTCCATTTTAAATTTCGGTATCAGAATCCGTGGAAGATGGCGTTCACGGTGCCTTATTTTTCTATCTTTTTTTGTATGCTTCACCATTTCGTTTAAAAATTTGTGCCAAGCCAGTTCATGTGAATGGTCTCACATTTTCACCACCAAAAACGTTCCGTAATACCGTCAGCTACTCATTTTTCACATTTTCGCTCAATTTGTTTTACATAATAGACCCCCTGATTTCAGTTCCTGCAAAATTTTTCATGCGAATTGATTCGTATGGGAAAAAAATCTATATAAACTTGAGAATCAGGCCCCAGAATAAACAATCGAATATTGTCTTGGGACGGTACGTTCGAAAAATGCGTATCGTACCGTCTTGGTACCCCGTTGTTTACATTTACTAAAACCCAGTTCCACGACTCAAGTTTAAAATTTGCCTCCGCCACTAACAATTTGATGAAGTTTTGAGACTCGTATATACAATCATAATGTGGATTTTTGACGTATTTCTAAATACCCTTGAAATTTCGATTGTGGTCCGATCGAAATCAAGTGATTAATTAAAAAATTCCACTGAGAACATTCATTCGATAGTATTATTTGACTTCTATTATATAACATGTATTTTCAATTATACAAAAGTTATTATCTGCAAACTAATATGTTTAATTTTTGTTTCAGTAAAGAATGATATATTCCAAATTAGCGACGATACTTTCTTTGTATTTATGCTTTTGAATCAGTTAAAGTCTTAGTTTATTTAGTGTTTTTTTTTACACTTTTTCAACCATTTTTTGGTAGAATTATAGAGCAATCATTCGGAATCAATGAACAAAATAGTTGAATTTAATGGTCAGCGTTAAAGTATCGAAAATATAAAACTGAAATATGGTTTTTAGTAAAAATTTGATGAAATCTATATTTTTATCCAAAACGTTCAAGAAATTTAACGCGTAAAGTTTCTTTATACATACATTCTGTTGAAATTAACGCAATTGATTAAGATTTGAACTGGATACTTACATTCGGATTTACGCAATAAAAAAAAGCGAAACGTATTCTGTGCATTCCATTCATTTCTGCCTCTGGTAGTTTTGGGTAGTTTCGGATGAGCGCAATGGCAGCCATGAGTGTCAGAACTGATAATCATGTATTCGAGCGAGTACTGTTGTCAAATATGACAATTGTTGACATAATTGCATTCTACCGGAATAGCAATGCTCAAAAGAATAACCAGTGATTAACAGTGCTACATTATATTTCAATTTAGCGTTACGCATATTTTATCGCTGTGGACGACAACTTTATCCCGGCCAGAAAGGAAGTATGATAATTGCCCCTATGGTAGATTATAGCTGCTGGCGTTGATAACTCATCGATAATATATGCAAAGTGTATGCTAAGCACATCTATCCGACCCCCTAAAACAATGCGCCATATGCTAATTTCAACCAGTCTCCGAGTACTATCTTGTTGAAGAATAATCTGCGAACTGTCTCATGTCGATCGAGTTAACCTAACATCTTTTGAGTCAGCTCTGGTCTCTTCTTTTCTTTTCACAGTGACAAACGGGTAAGAGTACAAGCTTTTATTAGTTTATCTATCAATTTATTCTACATAATTTTATGATACCATGAGCCTACAATACTGTTTTGCTCATGTAGTGGACTTTCGATTATCCAGGAATGAGTGCACAAATAATTGAAAATCAGGACTAATGTAAAAGCTGTTACAATGTGCTCGTATTTATTCAATCTTATCTGCCACACCCTGAATAAAAATCGCTAATAGCCCATGTACGTTGGTTGACAGGGTATAAGGTTAATCCGTAAACCAGATAAAAAACAGGGTTAATGGAGAGTCTATTATGTTTGTTTTCAATGTTAGATGGGTATTTATTTTATTCATATATTATAAGTTGAAAATTCTCTGAAATAGTCCTTTTAGTAATTCATTGTCAAGAACACTATGTTGATAATAGTAAGACAGTTTGGATGTAGTTGATAATTTAACGTATTAAATGTCAAAACTAATAACGAGTAAATTATTACAATGTAGTTGCAAATCATTGATAACCACCGTGGTAGTTAATGTGTTAAATCGATTTAGAATATCTTTGCAACTCAGTAATTTCAAGATACTTAAATTGTTTTATTACAGATACAATGTCTTTTATATATTACATGGGAATATGGATATTATTTTTATACAACTGCAATGGTGACTACTCTGAATGGAATTCAAAGTGGCAAGTAATATGTCCTGGGTTATTTCCACGTGTCTTTATTAGCTATACCCCACGTGGAAATTTAACATGGGGCAGATTCTTAAAACAATCCCATATAACTGGCATAAAACACTGTGTAGCGGATTGTTGTACACAGTCAGAATGTAATGTAGCCTTAATGCATAATGGTACATGCTATCATGTACAATGTAAAAGTACAAAAATGTGTGCACCTTTCTATCGCCCAGATCTACTTAAAAAGGATCCACCAAGTATGGTACTTGTTAAACCCGTAGAAGATGAAGATATGTGGAGTTATTGGGTAGATTCTACCAATGATGAAACAGGGTAACAACTTATTAAATATTTTGGTATATTTAATTCTTAATCAGTGTAATGTTATATATATATTTTTTATTCTTTACATAGACCATTGCTGGAAGATTCAAATTCCGATCAGACTCTGTTTGGATTAAACGGTATTGCATGTATGGATTTGGATTGTCCAAACAATGAAAGATGTGTTAAACAAGGAGAAAAATCAGACATTGAAACATGCGAATGTGATTTAGGTTTCAAGAGAAATATTGCTGGTACGATTATCTACAATTCTTTATGAATGTATCAAAACATTAGTAACAGTGGTTTTAATATAATATTTGTTATATTCTTTAAGGAATATGTGAGGCAATAAAAGAAATTGAAACGTCTGACATTGGAGTAACTCCAGATGTTAGAAGTGATGTTACCAGTGACACAAGTACATCCATAAAGCCATCATTAAAACAATTAGTTGTTTCTGCTGTATCAAAAGAAGTACGTCTCCCCGAAAATGATGCGACATTGTCAGCATATACAGTGCCTACTGAACAAGGTAACCTGCATTACAACTATGCATGGAGCCTTCTCAGTCAACCAGAAGGGCATACAGGAACTATGACCGATCAGAATCGTATGACAGTAAAATTAAGTAATTTGTCTGAAGGACTGTACAAATTTAAAGTTGCAGTAAGCAGTCCAAATGCTTATGGAGAAGCATATGCAAATGTCAGCGTCTTGCCACGTAAGTATTTATATTTTTGAGGCAATCTAGCTATATATATATATTTTAATATATTAACAATTTATGAACGTAGCCTGTTCTCATCTCTGTGACTTGTTTTTAGCTAAACGAATAAATCAGGCACCAATTGCAATAATATCTCCAGCAACTCAAGTAGTGAAACTACCAAATACTGGAGCGGTTCTTGATGGTTCGCCCAGTAAAGATGATGATCGCGTAATTTCTTATCATTGGGAGTTGCAGCAAGGGCCTATTGGATATCAGCCAAATCTTGTTGACACTCCAACACTCCAACTTGACAATCTTGTTGCTGGGAACTACACATTCAAGTTAGTGATCCCAATTAGAAAAAGTTATTTATTTAACGCAAGCATGGTTTACACGGTTTTTCGCTATTGTTCTCTGTACCTGAAGTTGGTCTTTCTGTGACGGTGAATGTAAACAAAGAAGGAAGGGCAGTATAGAAAAGAGCCTGAAAGCATCATAGGACGAAAATGTGCCTATATTTGTACTTTGTGTATGCGAAAAAAGACGAGTAACCTGAGCTTTTATTACATAAAGTACCACATGCACTACGTCAACAAAGTCTTTTACGTCCCGCGTGCTTGCAATACGAATTGTATTGCAAACTCACACTGAGCATAAAAAGGCCCACTTTGCCTTCTGCCCACAATGTGCTACTTTACACATTCATCATAGTGTCTAAGCTAAGCATTGATAATTTTTTTACACCTTTTTTTTTTTAGATTGACTGTTGAAGATTCAGATCATGTAACGAATTTTACAGTAGCTAATATAACAGTTTTGAAAGTAATTGACTATCCTCCAAGTGCTAATGCTGGTCAGAATATTATTATTTATTTGCCACAAAATACAATCACGCTCAATGGGAATTTAAGCACAGATGACCGTGGTATTGCAAATTGGGAGTGGACTAAAAGTCCATCTGATCAAAATAAAGCTGTAGATATGCAGAATACCAGAACCCCATATCTTCAGCTATCTAATTTAGAAGAAGGCATGTACACCTTTGTTCTAAAGGTAACCGATGATTCAGACCAATCTTCAACTGCTGAGGTTCATGTATTTGTAAAACCACCCACAAATAAGCCACCAAAAGGTATAAATTAAAATATTTTTGAAAAATTACATTGTATGACAATATGTTACAATAAATTAATGTAAATCGTTATTGCAGCTGATGCAGGCGATGATGTAACTATAGCTTTACCGCTGACAGAAACGATACTTAACGGCAGCAAAAGTAAAGACGACATAAAGATTGTATCATATGTTTGGAAACAAGTCAGGTACCACAGTTACTACAAATGTTCATTTTTCTATAATCCTGTAGAAATAAAAGTAATATCATATGTTTACGTAGTGGCCCAAGCAATGTTCAATTTTCTGCAGCCAATGAGTCTATCACAAACATAACACAACTAACTAAAGGAAATTTTTTATTTAAATTAACGGTAATTGATGATAATGGCAATAAAGACTCTGACACTGTTGAAGTCAAAGTAACTCAGAGTAAGTATCTATCCTGGAGTTTGCTTCTGAAGAGCACTTTAACAGAAAAAAGTGTATGTAAAATTTGTTGTTCAAGCTTAAAATTGAATAGCATTAAACGAATAGATTTTTGACTGACAAATTATGTATCCTGTTATAACAGGTTATAAGTTAAATACATAAAACAATTAAATGCATAAGTATATTATAAGTTTTATATTTTCAGATAAAAATGCTCCACCAAAAGCAAATGCTGGAGGTGATCAGACAGTGATAGAACCCGTGAGTGCACTTGTAATTAATGGATCTCAATCCAGTGATGATTTAAAGATCGGGCAATGGTTATGGACTCGAGAGCCCTCATGTCTTGCCATTGGAACTGTGATTAAAGAAACGGACAAGTCCCCAGTCTTAATGGTAATTTATCACTTATTTCGATGTTCATATTTTACTTAAAGATCAACATTTCTATAATATTTGTCCTCTCGATTGTTTTATTGTAATACTGTAGTTAATGTACACTTAATATTTGAAATTCCAGTAGGGTGTTTTTAAAATTGTACATTTTGCAGTTGACCAATGTCGTACCGGGAAGGTACGTTTTCCGATTAAAAGTAACAGATGATCAAGGTTTAAGTAGTGAAGACACAGTGTCGGTCATTGTTAAACCTGGTAAATAATAAATATCTTAAAATGAAAGATACACGTTACATATTAACTACATGAAATAACAATTTTAGATCCCCAATTGTTAAATTTGGTTGAATTGACATTAAACATAAAGGCACATCTGTTAACTGAGTCTCAGAAGGATTCATTGGTTGTCAAATTGCAAATGCTATTACGAGACGAAGCGTCAATTGTTGTACGCAATTTGCGAGCAGAACCACGAACAGGAAGAGTTGTGCTTATTTTTTATGTTGAAAAAAAGGGTGGAAAATCCACGATGACTGGACCAGATGTAGTGAAAAGATTAAAAGAAAAACTTCGGCAAGATTCTGGATTACTACAGCTATCAGTGGCCAGGGTGGAAACTGCTATATGCCAAAACAATTGTTCAGGTATTTATGTATTTTTTAAGGTGGACATGTATATTTATTTCTCTTATTGAACATTTTTTATTATATTTCATTCAATTAGGACATGGCGTATGTGATCAAGAAAGTAGACAATGTTTATGCGAAGCTTTTTGGATGAAAAATTTAATTCAGATATATTTTGGCAATGGTGAATCTAATTGCGGTAAGTTATTTATTCATACAGCTTATAATTTATTTAAATAACGGCAATTAATAAAAATAAATCAATATTGCAGATTGGAGTGTATTGTATGTAATAATAGCTCTATTATCGATCGTCATATGTTGGGTGGGATGTGTTTGGGGCCTGTTTTGTCTATGCCACCGAATATGTGGAAAAAGACGCACAACACGTTCAAAAAAGAAACCGACTCGTTATTCACTTCTTCAACCAGAACCCGAAGATGAAAGCGCGACATGTAAGTTGCAAATTATGCAATATTTATACACGAGGAACAATAAAACTGATCGTATCATATGAAGACACTGAAAATGTTTTCTTTTACAGTTACATCTCACAATAAATTAGTACTCTCAGAATCAGATACAGATTCTGATGATGTATTATTTGAACATCGCAAAGGAAAGAACGATTGTCATATTAAAAATGGCAAATCAAGGAATGGCTTTCTGAAAACAAATGCTAGAATAAAGACATAAGGTAATACATATATGCATGGAAAAGCATTCTAATATGCTAACGGTTTTGCCTGTTTTGTAATATGTAAATCGTTTATTTTATAATATAGAGTATAAAAGTACCACTTACATATAATTATGTTCTCACATTACAGGTATTCATCCGTATGAGGAAATGATTGACGCCAATACGCGTACACTTGGCTAAATGAAGAATACTAGTCAGTTACGAGGCTGTCGTTTCAAAAATGTACCTAACGAAAAAATTACGCTCACAATTTCCGTTTGTAAGCAAACATCTTAATCTGTAGTACAGATGTTTATAAGTCATTGACGTGAGGAAAACGCTTTCTGTTTTGTCAGTATAATTTATTACACTTAATAAATATGTACGTATATTTTAGTTTGGAAGCTCTTCCTACACTAGACTAGTAAGAAAATACTACGTTCTGTGAATACACAAAGATTATTTGATTGACGTAAGTTCTGTTCAAAATAACCAAGTATATATCTGTTTCTCAACAATTTAAAAATATTGAATTTTATATTCTTACCATTATGCGTGTGTGCTATTTAATAGCAATGAACTATGGCCAAAATACCAAGTTTGGTTATTGATTATTTCTATGAATGCATATAATTGTAAAGTTATATATTAACTTTTATATGCATTTGTTCAGAGAACATCCATTAGGATCAGAAATCATGTTATTAATTATTGTATATATGCTTATAAAATAGTATTGTGACGTGACAATGTACTACGAACACATGCTAAAAGTATTATTGAACTTACCTCTAGCCTTTTATATGAATAATACAAATACACTTTGCAGATAATGGCATCAACAATGAAGACCTACTTTTGCAAAATGGCTTCATTCTAAAAAAATTTATTTTTCCGATTATATATAGGCTAACATTACTCGGAATAATATAACATTATATATATACATCTACAATTTTAACGAACTAGTCTTTTGCATTTACAAGGAATTGTAACTAGTCATTCACATAAGGCATAGTTCCATGTGATTAAAATTCAAGAACCATGTGCAATTTTATTCTTGAAAATATTGGACATTGAAACCGTTTAGTTTTCCGTTTAAAAACTATTTGTCTTATTTTAATAATCAATTTGTTAGTAAGGCCTAAAGGAAAAATAAAGATATGAAAGTCCCAAAGAACCAAAATAACTGTTATTTTAATTGTTTTGATTACAAATAACCATTATATATGATTAAAATTGTTCCGATTATGAATAACAATTATGAATAATTACAATTTTTCTGGTAATGAATAACCATTATTAAGGAGCCGTTTTGACTTTGATTACCCAAAACCATTCTCGACGGAAAAAATGAGATTGTTTGCCACTAACCAATGTCGACAGCAAACGTTTTTTTTGTTTATAACCGATTGTTGTCAATTGTTATCAACTGATGACTAGTTGGAAGAATTTTAATCATTCATAATAGTTATTTATAGTAGGAACAGTTATAATCATCTATAATGGTTATTTGTAACCTAAACAACTAAAATGACTGTTATTTTGGATCTCTGGAGGGTACTACTGTCTGCATATTCAAACACTTTACTAAGGACTACACTTTAATAAGGACTAGTGACGATTTGTGTAAAATATTAATGTTTACAAATGTAGCAAAACGGTCACTGCAATATAATTCAATTAAGATTGACTATTGAAAATGACATTTAGTATTATTTTAAACATTTTTGCTAATGTGATACCTTTAATATGTTGTTTGTTAATATACTTAATTAACAAATATTTGAATTCATAATTGATACATTTAAGATTTTTATCGCGTTTAATTGTTATTCTTTAAATTCAGTTAACAAAGGAAGTTAATGAGGAAGTCATGTGCTCTGAATATAGTTGTCACATCTGAATATGTACCAATCCACCATCATACTTCTTCTGTAATCATCAAATATACAAAATTATGACAAATTTTATTGTAGTTGATATTGTAGAATTAAATAAATATGTAATTTTGCAATTAGATTCCAATGAATATTTATAGAAGTTCACATCGATAATATTACATCAGAACACTTTGGAAGATACTCGACAATGTACCTCCGTATCACCTTAAGCTTAATTCTTTTATTTGTCATATAATCAGTACATATGTTCTAGTCAATTGATAACGTTAAGCTAAACTTTTTCCTCGCAATTAAGAAAGATAATTTAAAAAAATTGTTATAATTTACACTTATTTAGAGTTCTGTTTAGCTGATTTGTATTGTTGAAATTTAGCGTACAAGGGATCGGATTCTGAAGAACCAAAAGCCAATGTTGCCCTCTGGTAGTAATCCGGTACTAATTCTATGTTGTTAATAACTGTTGAAAGTAGATGCGCCTTTTCTGCATAAACACCTGTATAAAAAAAATTAATATTTTTTAATTAATTAAAATATATATATTGAATATACATTTCCTTTTAAATAAGTAAAAAATGTAAGTTACCTGGTGTTTCCAGCATGAGGTTACATATATGTACATGAAGGTAATAGTAAGTCGGTTGGTAATGGAAATACATTCTAAGTTGAGTAGAGGGTATCTTATATTTTTCAAAAACTAATGCAGTTGCAGTATCTCTGATGTTTTTTAATAATGGAAGATGGGATTTATTTAATTCTCTGATTGATTTAAGGCGTTGAAAAGGTAACGCTAGTAAATGCAGCGTTGCTCTCTCTCCATCCCACTTCAGATCGGATATCAAAATAAAACCTACATCTTTTTCCTTATTTTCATATATTATTTTGTCTTTCTCTGCCTTATGTTCTAAAATATTGTCGACCCACTGCAAAAATGAGTATAAATTATTATTCTAGTTATTCAAGATATAAGAAAATGTCACCTAACGCATACCTCTAAAGATAATTGTTGAGCCTCCAAGTAAGGAAGTGTCACTTCTTTATAAAGCTCTTCAGTTTCTTCTATTATGTGAAATTGATTTACTTGAAATTTCTCGATATGTTTCTGAGTTGCTGGATGAATTATCGTTGTATTTAAACCTAGGTTCATAAATGCAATACCAGAAATCAGTGTTGACAAAATAAATTGAGCATGCATGCACGATGTTAGGTCTTTATACTATTAAAGTGAATGTTACTGTGCGAAAACCGTAATATTCAGGACAGTTTAACATTTTCCGTGGCACCAAGCTTTCATTCTTGTTGCATTTTGAATGAAAAAAATTAATCAAAGGACAACCCAATTACTTTGGTAGATATTAATTATTTTCTTTGCTTTTAGATATTCTACTTTTTTAATACATCATAAAAACTGTACGAGATTCAACAAAATTTCATAGAATCGTTTCTATAGAAAATTTAATTTTCTACAAGAAATGTACTATTCATTTTTTTTTCTATGTAGTATCCCCATATTCTACATATTACGAAATTATGTTTCCAAGTTTCGAGAATGATGCTTTACGCGTGAATTCTACCGAGGGGGCACCAATCATATTTCGCGCGCGAGTCGAAGTGTTAGCAACACTGGAAAATGGCGGACGTTCCATCGGTTCTTGAAGAAAACATCTTTCCAGCTTCTTTATGTTCAATCCCTGCCACTATCAATGTAAACAGTATAATAACGGTGAGCAGTAATACGTGAAAGAATCATTTAAGAAAAGAAGCGACAGTTTATACGCCGATGAGTACACTAATCGGACGCGTCGCAACCCAACGCGGAGTAAACTTTCCATCCACACAACGTCGACAAAGCAAGTTTATTAGGGGCAAACATAGCTTACCATTGTATTTCTCAGTGAGGAAACATTCATACTTCCCATAAACATCATTTCGAAACTCTTTGTGTAGTGGCGTTTCCTCGTTAAAGAGGGTCTTAAGAAAAATCTCGTCATTCGGAAAACTTTTTCTTTCGAACAAGACAATTGCCGGGCCCTTACGATTCTCGAACGTCCCCTCGACACACATCACTTTTTTCTGCGTATTATTGCTTAATATTCTCTTAACTCGGAAGGTCGATAAGTTCTTCAAGGTCTCGTGGACGCTGTCATCGCTCTGTTCACTAGTCCCATCCTCCAACCTCGCTTTCTTCGGCTTAGAGCAATTGTCTACTTCTTCGGCGACACCGAGTTCCGCCATTTTTGTTGCTTCGCGGTAGCGCGGCGAGCGCTACAGTCCGTTACGATATCGTCACTCGATCTGACTGTTACTTGCTTCCACTCCAATGGGTGCATTCAGAGGAGACAACTGTTGAGTGATCGGTTAGCGGTCATCTGCTGAATGGGTACGTTCACTCACATGTTTACTGATCAGACGCCATTTAATGTATCACTAATTTTCTACGCTACCTGCGCTCAACGTGTTGGGTAGATCAAATTCAAATTCAAACCGTGTAGATTCAAGTTAAAGAAGCAAGGATGTCAAATGAAATCAATTATTACAATGAAATGTATGAAGTAAACGGTCTTCAGTACGATGTAGTAGAGAGTGCAGAAGTGCATAAAATGTTAGAAAATGGTACGTTATTTCGAAATGTATACTTAACCTTAATCTATTGTATTCGATCTTCCTAATATAGACCAAAAAACTAATAATAAATAAATAATTAAGTTAGTATGAACATGTGAGTGTTTTTTTTTTCAGACGTTACATTCTGTTACGAATATTATTCTAAGAATATATCATCTATAGAAGTTGTTGGTGTATGTAACGAAAAGGTGAAAAATTTTTCAGGTAATGAAATAGCTGAAATAATACACGACGTACATGTACTGTAAGCACTGACTGCTAATATAATTATATTAATTATATTAGCAGTCAGTGCTATAAGGAGGTTAGGTTACACAAGACTGGATGCCGCCATATTATGATCACTGAACAGTCCATTCAGCAGAAAATCGCAACATGTTCCCAACTCATCGGTAACCGCTTTTCTCCTCCGAATGCATTCAATATCTTCCATTGTATACCTTTTTCACGCGCGCATTTTGATTTTTCAATTCGAATATTAACAAAAAAACCAGTAAGCATTGGCAATTCTTCAATATTTTCAACGTTGCGTTCGGTAAATACATTTTTTAACATGCTCGTTTCATTGAGCCTCCTGTGAAGCATTATTTTTGTTTTTCTGGAAAGATGCTGGTCCTTTACCTGCATCGTTTGGGATGTTCCTCGATTTTCTATTAATTTCAGCTGTTACTACGGTTGGATAATTTCGCATTTTTCGAGATTCGCGACGAACCAAAATAATTTTGGTTAAAAGTGAAATTTCATGAGCATTGCATTCTTCCTCAACGCCTCCATAATCACGTGTTGAAGTTTCAAACGTGCACGCAGTTTGGAGAAGTTTTATAAATAGTTTGATGTTTTGGGTGTGTGTGTGTGCGTGCGTGCGTGCGTGCGTGCATGCGTGCGTGCGTGCGTGCGTGCGTGCGTGCGTGCGTGCGTGCGTGCGTGCGTGCGTGTGTGTGTGTGTGAGGATCATTCTTTTATATATTTATTTAATAGGATGAGCCTCTTAAAACACCTTAACTAAAAAGTTAATGAAGACAACGTATTTACAATTCTTTTCCTAGGAATCTCACCTTTGTCTTACTGAGCACGAATTTCTAGCAACCCTGAATACTTACGGTTACTTATAAATATTATCCTTAGCAGTACATCGAATGAATCATTAACTTGTCTTCTTGTACGCACGTGACTGTGATGAAGTAAAACAACAAAAGCAGATGCACCACCTCTATCAATATTTAATCACCTCAATTCGATGTACACGACATCAAACTGAATGTTCGACATTAAGATAAGATAAAGCTTCGTAAAGAGATATGAGTCTGATCCGGGGAGTGCCTCACGCGCGCGCGTGCGTGCGTGCGTGCGTGTGGGCCCCGCGCGCGCGTTTACTGGTCAAAATACATATGTGCAGTTTACAACAGAGCATTGAAGTTAAATTATTACTCGGTTTTATTTGTCTCGTATTTTATTTGAAATTCACATCATATAACATCTAATTCAAGTAAATTACATAGTTTTAAGTCATTATAATTAAGACATTAATTTTGCCTAACTTTTTATTGCAGATACCCCTATGTGAGTTGTTGCGACGAACGTTAGTCGAAATTACCCGTTGCGATGCAAACGCGATATATCAGGTGTTTCTTGATAAACGACGTTGATCGATTCAGGTACCAGCGATCGATGAAACGAACGAAGGACGACTGCGCTCCGTAGTCTGCGGATACGACGGATGTGTCCCGAATCATTTTTCGTAAGCACTGCCGCGTACGCATTATTCAGAGAGCTCCCACTACGTGTCGAGGGTCTCGCGTGTTCCTCGAGGCTGCCTATATAAACCAGTCTGTATTTATCGCATAGCTCACAGTATATTTTGCGACCGGGTGCTGTCTTTAGCGATTCCCGATATCGTGTCTAGGCGCGCGTACGTTTCTGGCCGCGCCGCAACCGATTTTCGGTTTGTACTACGTGGACAGCATTGGGGACGATTCGGGGAGTTTTACAATTCGTGAGAGGAAGAATAAGAGAACGACAATTGTAGCAGGTGACTAAGTCGAACGCGGGAACGCTTAACACTTCGTGGCCTTCATTTTTAGTTCGTGATTTGTTTGACGAGACCGTTGGGTGTCCGATCGGCGTTTAAGGTGAAGTGAAACCCCCTTCAAATCAGTCGATTCGAATACAACAATTTTTTTTAAGGATATTAGACCAAACTGTCCGAAACTTTGACACATCACTCCTGATCACATAAAAATTGTCCTGACACATTCAAAATTTGGATTTTTGGAAAAACTTGTTTAACTTAGCCCAGACCTGAACCAAAATGGCGTCGAACTCTCAAATTTCGATCAATATACAATTAGGGAAGGCTCTGATATGAGAAACGAAAGTGTCAGGACAATTTGACGACAATTTAGAACACTCTGATAATCGATAAACTCGCATTTGAACGAGATAAAGTTCAAAAAAGTGTTGTATGCGCTTCTATGCTAAAACGATGGGAATACGAGGCCTCGGAGTGAAAATTTAATTGTTCTGGAAATCACAGATGGCGCAGGGGGTCCCTCTGCAGTCAATTAGGGCCCCAGAAAGCATGAACCCAGAGGATTTCTGGAGTTTTACTTCGATTTCTTTATAATTATTGTACGAAAACGACAGGTGGAGTATGACATTTGGTACAATACCCAATGTAATTCGACACAGCTGTCAATATAAAAACGAATGTCGGCAACGTAGGCATTTAGAAAAATCTTCTTTATCGACGTCGATCAAGTTCCTCGACGTGTTTCACTTCACCTTAATCAGAGGTTTCGATCGTGATCGTGCCGAACTTGTAGTACTATCCTCGATGAGGCCCTCTCCATTTCGCGCCCCAGAAATTTCTGCCGGCTACGGCCAATCGGGGGACAAGACCTGGCAGAGCGGTCCAATCAGCACTGCAGTATTCCAATTCGTGATTAGACTGGAGTCCCACTGAGCGCGTCGAATGCTAGACGGAGCGCGGCGCGTCAACGCGTCGGGAATGAAAAACCAATTGGAACTGCTCTTAAGGGGACTCATACCTATTGAAATAAAATAACCTATTTCTCAAATAAGTACAGGAATTAATTGAAACAACATTTAAATGCAGTTTGAGTGTGTTTTAACCATACGTTTAGGTACACATTAATATAATTACTATTCATCGATCTAAATTTAAAAAATGTTTCAGTTTTGATACACATTGTAAAGAATCGTATTTTGGTGTTCATCCTCGTTTGTCGTAAGCTTTCAGGTAGACCTATTACTCCAGAGTATTTCACCTTTAGAAGATGGATCATGGCAAATACCTGCTCATAAGTGGATATTTTCAATAATTTCCGAAAGCATTGAATAATTTTAAAAAGTTATTTTATCAAAGTAAGGAAAATTTGACGAAAATATTATTAATGGATACTAAAATTTTGAGTAACTTTGTTTGTACATAGTTGTCGGTCATCATTTCTATAGCCATATATTTTGTCATATGTTCAAGATATGAACTATGCGGAAACACAATTTTCTGAGATCTATTATGAGAAGGCATAAAAAAATGGCTTTAAAGTTTCAAAACTGTTTTTATGTAAAATGAAAATGTGCACCTGCGAGAAAAAATGGGTATTTTCACCCTGCCACTAGTTATGACCCGCTTAACCCCGTGCATCACTTCCGCCGCAGTTAAGTTTGACGCGTTGACGCCCTCGGTCCGTGTGTCATTCGACGCGCTCAGTGGGACTCCGGCCGTTAGCTTCCTCCGCGAGAATCGGTGCGAGATTTTAAAAAGGAGAGACGCTCACCGAATTGCGCAGCGAGTAGCGACTCGTGGCACTATCAATAGCGACGCATCGCCACGGGCCTGACTTGCTTTTGGTTCAACCGGTCCATGTGCCACGCGACCCGCCAACCTCTCTTATTTTGTTATTCCAGGATAATGTCGGCGTCCCCGATCACCAGGCAGGTTACGCAGAGTCAGACCATACCCTCCAGGAGGGTCGCCATCCATGACCCGAGTGAATTTCCAACAGACTATTCCTCTACCCCTGGAGGCACGATCTACTCCACGACGCCGGGAGGTCAGTTTTATTATTTTCATCTGTATTCTTCAGCTTTTGTCTCGCTTCCCATCAATGTCAATAACCGATTTGCCTTTGCGCAATTCCTCGTATCGTTTGGCCTTGAGTTGGAGTGGGTGACGCGCGTCGTCGTGAACGGGGAGTAGATATACATGATACGCGCCACCTCGTGCTATACCGACCCCTCTAGTTAGAAATAATTAACATAGTCTGGACTACGTACAACTTTACGTAGATTTTGCATGTGGAGTTTGAAACGTAGCAATCGAGATGCACGCGGACGGGAAAACCGTGTAGTTATGTGAACTACCCGGAAACGAAAACTGAGTTAAAAAACTGAGGCCAAGAGCATTTTTATAGCTCAGATTGCACGACCAGGCTTCACGAGTGAACTTAAGTAAACACGACAAATCCGCGGAATTAACCCTTTGAGGACGGAGCTCTATTGACATATGGGCGAAATTCATTAAAACGTATAGGCCATATTGGACCAAACGTCGGACGCATATATGCAGCGGTAGCCCGCAAAGGGTTAACTGAAAGAACTGACAAGATTATATTTTAGATTATATTTTAATACTCTTCAAACGACTTCGTGGAGTGATAATTCTGTTTCTAGCATGTCTCCAAATAAAATTGCCCGATCCCGCAGATGTAGAGTGAACTTCGGTACCTCTAAAACAATTTATGGTTAATTCTTTAACAAGAACGGATTATTGTCCGGAACCGACATTTTTCTATAACATCTAATTACTGTTACATCCATTGTACAATCTAAGTTAAAAATATACCCTGCTCGTTATATTGAACTATTGTACGTACACTTTAATGACCTTGATAATTGGAATTCGGAGGGGGGCATCGACCACGTGAAAACAGCGGGTGCTCCGAAATAAGAGGCTCATTTATATGCCCGCAAGGTGATGGCCTTCGAGAGCTTGAGCTTCTACGACGCGGATAGGAGAAACTAGTATTTTTTTATCTTTATTGGTGATCAAAAAGTAAGTGGACGTTCTTCCACTGTTTGTGTGCCTCGGTTATCGGTCGCCTAATGTTGATGGAACACTAATAACGATAAAGAAATTAATTCTTGATATCCAGTGCATACCTATCGATATGTGATAATCCTCTACCTTCGGGAGCATGGCTCGGATACTAATACAATATTTATTTCGATCACTATGTCTAGTTTTTATTTTTCGATTAATCCGCTGAATTATGTTTCACAATAAACGTAGTAACGCGTAATAATGCGCCATTATACCTGAATGTTGTACCTGATTTTTGGGCTCTTACAAGGAAGATATCCCAGGTCGATCTCTCCGATTTGATTTCTTTTATATTATGTTATAGTAGACTAAAAACTAAGCGACAGGTATCTTTTTTTATCTGCCCTTAAACTCTTTAAAGGGTGAAACCATCCAAAGTGAGGCATGTCAAGGGGCGATTTGGCAGTTTCACCCACAAGAACATAATATTTTTTAACCAATCCACCTGGAAATGCTTTCTCATAACGAGGAATGAAAAATATAATTTTCTCAATTAAAAAAAAAATTAAGGGGTAAGCCACCCCTTACAGGCCTTACTTTGGATGATGGTTTCACCCCCTTAAAGTGTTTAATGGCAGATAAAAAAAATACGTGTCGCTTAGTTTTTAGTTTACTATAACATCTTATAAAAGAAATCAAATCGGAGAAATCGATCTGGGATACCTTCCTTGTTAGATTACACTTCATGGTTAAAATATGCGTGATCTTGTACTCGCTCTTGTGGACTTGACCAAGTAATTGTATGCAAAGAATAAAATATTCTGATGTATTGTGCATAAGTTTTGTGAACTCATTCGTGAACTCATTCGTGAAAAATGCAAATTCCAGAGCATCAATATAATCTTTCTCGGTGATCATTCAATTTAGGATCCTCTTCAACATAATTTGACTGGAATTTTGTCGGTTTAGTCATTACGCCAAGGTCGGCTCGTGTTTCCTAATTAAAGATTTGCATCTACTAATCCATCAGCATACGTAGTTAAAAAGTTTGTCTATATGCAGAAAATGAATTCACAGTCTTAACAAGAAATTTTACTTGCTGCAACAAATGCAAACGCTGGAAATTTGGACCACTTCATTAGGACAACACAAATTCAATTCATAGGTGCATTATTCTTGTCTAGCGACAACAAATTGTATATCGCTCATTCGTTTGAGTAGGAACAACATTATTATTTTTGGCTGTTGCAACAAATTAATTTGCTAATTTAGCAAGCATTTTTTCTAAAGAGAACTCTCCAGTGGTTGCGTCTCCGATTCGATGTAATTGCAAACATTTTTGTTGTTGGTGCGATTATCCCTGCAGGGAGAGCAAAACTTTATCAGCAATGCTGCCCTCTGCTAAAAGTGCAAATGTCTTTTTTTTTTTCCTTATATTAAAAGTACGACAGAGAGATTAAGGTGTATATGCATATGTACGTATGTGTGCGTGCGTATAAAAGAACGGAAGTTTTTTTTTAATCCCATGGGGTAGACTTAAACCTAAACATCGGGGTCAGGTCCGACGTTAATAACCTTAGGGTGATGTTTTCTTTGGCCGAGATCTCCACGTGGCAAAAGCCGTCGTTTGATAACGAGTCGAATATTCGTTGATATTGGGGGCATCGTCAGGCCACTCCGCTACGTTAAAAGACCGTTGAGTGTGTTTTACGTACACGATGCGCGATTAGAGCCTGTTGAAGGTAATCAACCGCGTAGATTTTGCAATGTATAAACGCGTAGAAATCTCAAATTGGAGCTCTCATTTATGACTCGTGATATCCCTGAAACGGTTACATGAGACAATCGTTTATGATTCGTACAATGGAACATGTAAATTGGGTGTTCTACCACGCATTGGTGTACTATAACCGTATTCACGCGGTAAAGTTTGAAACGAGTCGGTATAGCTAGTTTGCGAAAAAGTTTCTTAAACGATTGACCCGTCAGATGCCATTTTCAAATCACCTTAAAGGATTAAATTGGCCTAGATAAACAGCAAAGAATAAACACATTGTAGGTAAGCATTTCAGATAAACTATAGTCTTTAATTCCTTTAACGATTTAATCGCATCTCTCGATTATTTTCCTAAAATTACGAGGAGAATCATACTTCACTTTTTAATGGCGTCGGATATTATTTCAGCGTAATTTTGCCGTCACGAAGCGAAATGATGTTTAGGATAGTTAATTCTAAAACAAAATTCAAGCATAATGTCGTTCGTAACTTAGAAGAGCACGTCGAAATTACCGTAGCGCAATAAAAAGGATTTTAAGAGTTATTTTCACGCGGCTTAAACTTCCGTAGAATTTCATTTTGACTCAATCCCTTCTAGACTTGTTAGCGCGTGCTTCTACCTCTGCACGATACAAGAATACGCACGTATTAATAGGCACACCCGCGTTCCTTCCCGTAGATCTTCTGTTACGGCCATCCAAAAAAAACCATGTTCCTTTTATTGAAACTTTATGTTCGTTTAGATCATTGAAACGGTTTTACATTATTGGATTATAGGATTATTGATACAGGAATACGCACGTATTAATCGACGCACCGCGTTCCTTGCCGTAGATCTTCAGAAACGGCCACGTTCCTTTTATTGTAACTTTATGTTCGTTTAGATCATTGAAATGGGTTTACATTATAGGATTTTAGGATTATTGATACAGGAATACGCACGTATTAATCGACGCACCGCGTTCCTTGCCGTAGATCTTCAGAAACGGCCACGTTCCTTTTATCGAAACTTTACGTTCATTTACGTTATGGAAACAGGTATACATTGTTGGGTTATAGGATTATTGATACAGGAATACGCACGTACTAATCGGCGCACCGCGTTCCTTCCCGTAGATATTCAGTTACGGCTATTAAAAAATAACCATGTTCCTTTTATTGAAAGTTCACGTTCGTTTAACTCGTTGAAACGGGTATACATTATTGGATTGTAGGATTATTGATACAGGAATATACACGCATTAATAGGCGCACCGTCTTCCTTCCCGTAGATCTTCAGTTACGGCCATCCAAAAACGACCACGTTCCTATGATCGAAACACAAGAGACGAGCGTGAAATCGCGCATAAAACGTGTATCTATGTTTAGAAATTGTTTTTCTACGTCAAAGGAGGAAAATAGGTCGACCGGTGCACATCGATGTCAACAATTGTCGAATTGAATTGCACATTAAACGAGCACTTTGTGCTTCAGTAATGTCTCGAGAAATTTTAAGTAAACGGGGGATTCAATTCAATTACGTAGCTGCCACCGTCGTAATAATTCACAGATAATTTACTTTACCAAGCTACCCTAAATCATCATTATTTGATGTTATTGTTCAACTACGATTCTGAGTAATTATTTCGATGAAGGCTTCATCACACTTGCTTTGTCATTTCGAGAAACAATCTTAATAATTACGTCCTGATCTTCGCTCGAAGTTCCTAATATGAAGCCTTATAAATTAAGGTATTTTCACATTTATTAACACGTTCCGTGCCACGCCGTGTACCACCCGAGGTTAACGCGTATTATCGGTGGTACATGTGGCACGGAACGTGTTAATAATTCCGAAATAATTTTAGACTAAAACCAACTTGTTTAAAATCGATTTCCACGTCTGTAGCTATCTCGTTACATCGTATAATCAATTCGTTGATTTACACTGGCGCGCCATGAAGGAACGTTTATTTCTAGCCGTGACATTTTGTTTTCGTTTCCTTCGAAGCTCTTTTAGCTCTATAAAATTAACAAGTTTAAGCCTATTAGGTCGGCCTAGAGAGAGGTGAAATAATGACGCACGTAAAAAAATTGCGCAGTTTGTTTACACGTTTTCAAAAGCAGAATATTTTATTGGATAACCTTCGCTGTCACGCCACCGTAATTGTGTGTGTGTTGTGTTGATCGTCGGACTCGAGGAGTAAGGCTAAGGTTTCTTTGTTGTTTTCATCATTTGAAAATCATAAATCCGGTCAATCATAAATTGTTGCAAGGTATCGGTTAGAGCATCATTATTACGCATCATTTATCGAAAAACAAAAGTTCGAAAATTTGATAATGAAATTTAAGAAAATCTCATTCGACACCGTTGCTAACTGTGTTGCTTTGTTGATCGTCGCCCAATATGTAGTTGATGTAGTATTTTCTAGAACGCATATTAACTACGAACTTGTTATCTGCCCAATCGAGTCTGACATAATCGAACCATATGGTGAGAACGAATATAAACCTACTCTCTTGCTGTTCCAACGAAGCGTTATACAATTTTATTGTATCCATGTGGTCAGTTGATTCAGTACATTTCTTACTCAGTGAAACTGCTCATGTGTCATCAATGTTGTAAACAAGTAACCTGTTGCGTGGCACGCCTTGCGAGTTCATGATCTTTCCCTACATTCACATCTGAGTCGGCATTTCTTTTTATTTGACATTTTGGAATTTGATGTTAAATTTTATAATTTGTTCATAAATAGACTGTAATTATGTAGCCGTTTTGTCAATCGTTCACTTCGTTGGACATTCTTTGGCGGAAATAATCAGAAATTGAATGTGAATTTGCACGATGAGTTATCGAACACTGAAGGCAGAAATAGTTCGTTGCTATTGAGAGTTGTTTATAGACGTAACTTGTGGGTCGATTGAGGTATGCAGCAGGTACTCATGATTTTAATGATAGTGTTGTTCTACAGGTACCCGCATTGTGTATGACCATGCCTTTTTGATGAATTTACGAAATTCTCCGATTTCGCAGTCACCACCGCGAAATATGCCCTCCATCCCTGCTAACATTCTAAAGGATTCACCATTATCGCTTCCGACAACAATGTCACCAACAGTCGTACAAGCAAAGGTAAATAATTTTTCGGTAACTTGTACACTAATTCTAAAGATTGTACACTTCTACATATACGGAAGACTATAGTCATCAAAGTTGAGAAATGCAATCCAAGCAATTTCATGAAATATATAAGACATTGTTCGAACATAAGATTGACATTAAAACAATAGATATCCTTAAATTATTACATGCATATTCTTTCAAATTTTGAATTTGATTATCTTAGAATTATTTTTACAGTATTTTAAAAATCTTCGATGATACCATAAGAGCAAAGTAGCAAAATAGTCCATACAGATAACTTTAGCGGAATGATTTAATGGAAACAGTAATTGCATGATTTACCTAGATTCTCGTAATTTTACAGTTTAAATTAAAAATACTTTATCATTAAAATATCATGTAATTGTATATTTGTTAATTTTTCTAGAAATCCTGCCAATCGAAAAATTCATCGCAGAGTTCGGAATTGCCATGTGACTGTGACAATCAGTTTGTGATGACGGACTGCTGTTCATTGTTAGTTGAGAAGTCTTAATACGTGATCTTCTCGTAACTGCATAAGTGCTTGAATACTGTTCTGAGCTTTTCCAAAGGAATTTATCATCGTACCAAGAGTCTTTAGAACCTCGTAATAGGCAGCCGGTGTCCTTCTACATCAGTGAATGAATCACTACAAATATAAGTGACATGTTTTCAAAATGAAGAAGAATGATGTGTAAAAAATAAGTTCCAACCCACCAAACACATTATCATAGTTAAATAACATTGAAGTAATATAGTATATAGCAAAAGTTATTAAAAAAAATACATTGATATTATATAATATCTAAGTACTGTTGTTCCGTAACATTGTTATAAAGCATTGCAGTGGCATATTATTGACATAACATAATATGGTGCCAATATATTATGAGTATGTTACATTATTTGTTTTATAACAATGTTATATAACTATGCTCGGTGGAGAGAATCTGTTACAACCATTAACAAATCACCTGATGATTTAATAAATTCTGTATTTTATTTTGTAAATTACTATTTAAAAATATTGATTACAAATAAACTATGTTTTTTTTTATAATCCATAATAGTCATTTATCTGATGTTCATTGGTGTAATCGAATACAGACCTATGCTCTACGAATACATAGTATCAAACATCAGGAAACTCAGTAGAGTTTTGCGCCAAATATGCACACTTGCGTAGAATTAATGAATAGGCCCAAACTTTGACTATATAAATTTGAACCATGGACGTAAGGATATGTGACGAACACAAAGTTCCATCTTAGACCAAAGGGGGAAGCCGGCGCGTCGGAAAAAGAGGGATAGGATAGCCATATTGTTGAGCGCATTTCTCAGCGTCCTAATTGGTAGGTCATGTGCTTCATGTTTCAGGTTCTAACATTTCTTTCTGCTACTCCTGTACATACTAAAACATCGTTTTTAACCTTCTTTATGCTACAAGCGGCATATTGTATGTACTTCATTCGCTGTTTATTTGGTTTCAGCCAACGTCATTCTTTACTTGCTGCTCTTAAAATGATAATAGAATCTCAGCCAATCAGAGGAAACTAAGGTTTTGGCACAACAATATGGCTATCTTGCCATTGATCTACACTGGACTCCATCGATAGCTTGCACCTGGTCCGCACTGCCCTCTCCGGCCGCGCAGCGTACTAGCGGCGGGAGCAGCGCGGAATTCGAATCGCTCGAGGGGCAGAATGCATTTCCTAAAGAAAATAAATATTTATAAACAAAAACAATTAATGAAAATTATTTTAGTATTACTGTGGA